GCAGTTTAGACTCAAATGGGTTTTGTTTAAAATGTGTTTTAGGCTCCAAACTCTCTTTCTCCCCCCCCCCCCATTGTCTTCTCTCTCACTCTGTCTTCTCTCATTTTGTGCTTAAAAGCACAAACCTTTGTCTGAGGAGTCTGTGTGCCCCAGTGATGACCTTCTTTCTTTCTTCCCTCTTTTCCCCATTGTTCCCTCCCTCCCTCCTTTCCTGCCCTTTTTTTAACCTAAGCCATCTTAGGTTTAAAAAAAAGAAAAATTATACCCTAGTGGTAGAGAACGGATTAACTTCAATTTACAAACTGTGCCTCTACATAAGAACAAAAAACAGCTGGAACAGATTAATCGGGTTTCAGTGCATTCCTATGGGAAATGCTGATTCGATTTATAAATGTTTCGACTTAAGAATACCATTCCGGAACGGATTAAGTTTGTAAGTCAAGGCACCACCGTATATGGCTCAACTGAGTTCAGCAGTGAGCTGGCATAAATTTAGTTTAATGCTGGCTTCACATGACATGTTACCATTATGTGAACATATCATGTGAAATCAGCATTGTAAAAAAATCATTATTTTTTTTTAATTTTATTTAAATTTTATTTAAAATTATAAGGTTTTATACATATGTGAGTGCTGTAAGGACTGTAGATAAAACTTATCATCATCATCATCATCATCATCAATACCAATGCAGCTGATATGCCAAATTTGGGTGTATAAGAATTTGAAGCTTTTAATTTTGCATAATAATAACAGTGACACCCAACTGGAAACAAAGAATCCTAGCAAACCAATTTTATTGTTAAACCTTGGCAAACTGCAGAGTGATCAGATGCTGGAACTGTTAGTGTCTGATGCCATGTTTTCTCTGGGGATGTTATAAGGACCAATATACGTAATTTTAAGAACACCTAGCAAGGAATGACAAGCCACAGCTATTTCAAAGCCAAGAGATCAGAGACAACAGAACACATAGGATGGGCAGGGCTGAATTAATTCTTATTTATGCAGCAAATCTAGTCTGCCTCTATGCCACCAGTAGTGGTTTTCAGGATGGTGATCAGCAAAGAGTAGTGAAAATTATCACAGTGAAGAGATTTTAAAAATTCCACTAAAAATAAAAGTGAAGAATAATTTAAAAACAACAGCAAATGTCCAAAGGGAAGTAAAAAGCAACACTATAAAAATGTAGGTTCTAACTGCAGATATCAGCATGTATGCTTTTTTATCACTGTTTCTTGAAACATCCCATAAGCCATGATGTTTTCTTCTGTTACAAATTCATTAGTCTGTTTAAAAAAATACACCCAATACCATGTCCAGCTGGCCGTTGTCTGTAAAATATCAGTATGATTGGAATGAAGCTGGATTAGTGAGTTAAAGGGAGGAAAAGTTTAGCATAAAATAAACTGGAAAGTACTATTTGAACTTTGGTCTTTTTTGGTTTGTTTATTATATGTTTAAGACTGATCTCAAGAACAAAGAATATCTAGTTGCCAAAGCTCCATCTCCCTTCCACACACAGCATTTAAATTTCAGCCACAAGCAAGTAGACCCTTTGGGGCCCTGGTTTTTGCTTTTTGTTGTTTTCATACCCACAGTTCTCACTGTTATGCTGGCATTATGTTTATATCGTTCAACATTTGTCTCTGAAACTGAAAGAAAATGTGGTTAAAGCAAATAACTTTCTCCCCAAAGTGTATCATTTCCCACTACTATATAAGAGTTTCATTGTACTTCGAGCAGCCTATGGTTATAACTATTGGAATTATGCTGAATTTGTAGTACCAGCTTGCATTTAAAATTAGATGATAATACAACATTTTAATATATCTCTACTTTTTGCTGCAGCTAGAGGGACCTGTTGAACTAGAATACCAATATACATGTGTGTGTGTGTGTGTGTGTGTGTGTGTGTGTGAGAGAGAGAGAGAGAGAGAGAGAGTATGTGTGAGTGTGTGTGTGTGTGTGTGTGTGTGTGTGTGTAAAATGCTTTCTGAGAAGCAACATGGAATAATATACCCATTTATGGAATTTGAAAGAACCAGCAAAAGAAAGAAACAGTAAGAATGGTTTCTTCACTGACTTATTTTGTGTAAACACTTATGCATATATCTATTCCACTCTCCACTTAGATCTTGACTAAATACATACAATTGTTCATGAATTTAGTGGATTTTCAGTCCACCTTGGGTCAAATGAAACAAAGGAAAAATAATACAAAGTTGTAAAGCTAGTTAATGTAGTTATCATGCATGTTTCTGAGGTTCACCCTGCCTAACGAACTCATTACTTCTCCTTTTCAAGTCTGCTGCTGTGCTTGGCAGCATTAGGCATGGTTCAAACCCAATGATCCTGAAACTCAAGACAAAATGAACTGTCGCAGCTGAAGGTGTTGTGGGCTACTAGTAGTATGCAACAGGAATTTATATATATATAAAAAATGATTACTTAGCCAAATGGACGAGTCCATTTAGACTATCTGCATCCAGTTTGTTGATTTTGTTCCCATCAAGATGAAGTTCTGTCAGTGATGTGGGAAGACCTGCAATAAAATATGGCCCAGAGATAGATTTCTAATTAGATGTGGCAACTAGGGTTGGTTTTCTTATTACATTCATTGGCAAAATTTCTAAGATTAGTGCTTCTCTAACAGTACACAGCTATTATATGCATTTTTCAAGTTATTAGAGCAACTATTCTTCATGACAATTTTCTTATATCTCCTAGCATTAATATGGTATAGGGTTAGCAATGGATCACACTGCACCATATAAGGGAGAAGTATATTTACTCTCTACTCCACGTTCTTGCCACAATATGATATAGTGATGTGAGAAGAATGTTCAGCTAAAACCAAATGTTACTTTTGGATTACCTCTTCCAGCAGCACCCATACCTATGCTAATGTGAACATTCTAGGAGTTGTCATCTGAAAAATAATGTTTCTGGGTGAATTTCAATGGCCTTGCAGTTGGAAGAGTTAAAGAAAGAATTTTTGTGTTCTGTTTTTGGGTGCTGAATGTATGTCTAAACAACAGTTAATTTAGAAGTTATGGCAACATACATGTGAAAGCTGCCTTCTGCTGAGTTAGCCCACTGGTTTGTCTTCACCATTATTGATTACTCTATAAGATTTTGTAGGATAGAAGAATCAATTCTGGAACAGACCAAATGTGTATCTAATCCAACTTTGTTTCTCACAGTGGCCAGTCAGATAATCATATGGGAAACCCACAAATAGGATGTCGTTGCAATATACCATTTTTCCACTTGTGTTCCTCAGGAACTGGAATACCAAGCTGGGTTTCCCTGACATCCTGGAGGTTGCATATAGCCACTGTGACCAGAAGCCATTAATGCCCATCAATCTAAATCAAATTGTTAGTCCCAGCTGCAGGATACCTACTGAATACATAGCTAAATGTTAAGTCAACAATTATATAAGTCACATTCATTCAGTGGGGCTAGCAATTGGTTTTAGGCCTGTCTGTTTCTGAACTGGCATTAATTGTATTATATAAGTCACATTCATTCAGTGGGGCCAACAATTGGTTTTAGGCTCGTCTGTTTCTGAACTGGCATTAATTATGATCCTACTTCTGAGATTCTTCCAACTGGAATGCTGGGGAATAGATTTGAGCCTTTTGCACATATTATACTAGAGACCTCAGTTCCTGAGCTATAAATCTTACAGTGAAAATATTTTTAGTCAATGATTTCACAAGATGAGCTGGGGGTGGGGGGGAAGAATGTTCCATTGTTAAATTCATTCCTTTAGAGTAGATGCAGAAGGAAATGTCCAAGCTACCTGAGAAGGAAAGTTTTTGCCATTGCAACAGCTGAGGGTTGTGTGAGTTGAGGATGTGGATTCTGCAAGCCCTTTTGGGAGAGGTAGTGCACAAAGAGAAGCATTGCATAAACTCTTTTTATAGAAACTTTTCCAGTGTGAATTTGACTGTCCCATTTCAGGGGAAAAGAAGCAAGTTCTCCACTATAGAAACTGTCCCCAGGGAACATCTCTTTTTCCTCTGCCAAAGAGGATGATGACCCCTTCCTTTAAGGGGAGTAAAGAGGAAGGAGTAAAGGAGGTCACTTAGTCTCAATATGTGTGTTCTCCAAAGCAATGGCCTTACCTTTAGGGATACTAGTTATATTAGTATCTGAAATACGGATATAAGAGAGTTTCTTCATTCCTTGAAAGGCTCCATTTTCTATACCTGAGCTTTTTAATGGGTTGGTGCCCAGTTCTAGTAAGAAAAAGCAAATAAACATGTACATGAGTTGTATAATCATTAACAGTAAAACAATTATTAAATAACATGTGACCCTTCTCATTTAGCTAATTTCCTTAATGATGGATTAACTGCATAGCATTTTGCACAGATTATGGGTTTCACCCATTCAACACCCCCAGTGAGCTGCCACGGTGGAGTGGGGATTTGAACCCAGGCCTTCTGAGTCCTAATCTGCCACTCTATCCACTATGCCACAGTGGGTACCATAAGTTTAAAATGTACTTACGGATTTGAACCCAGGCCTTCTGAATCCTAATCTGCTACTCTATCCACTATGCCACAGTGGGTACCTTAAGTTTAAAATGTACTTAATGCAAATTATCCTTTGACAATAGATAAGATTTAAAAAAGAGTTTATTTAACATTCCACAGTAGATAAGTGCTCCAATGGAAAAATCTGATTATCTGATCGTACAAGGACCCATCAATTTCAATACATGAGAACTTTAGTATTTATTGACCTCTGTATGAACTACAACACATATACACCCAAATATACCCTCTTGCCTTTTCACACAGAACCACGCATAGCTGCGTCATCCCAGTCCAAGCAAACAGTCTTCCCTAGTCTGGGTTTTGTCAAATTCCACTGACATATTGCACTATGTTTCCTCCAATATAGCATTTTTATAAATCTTCTTTATGAAAAACAAAAAAAACAATACAAGCAAACAGTCTTCCCTAGTCTGGGTTTCCTCCAATATAGTATTTTTATAAATCTTATTTATGAATAACAAAAAAAATGCCTACCTACAACAATCATATTGTTCAGTCCACTGAAGACAACTTTCCTTAGTTTTGTGATTTCGTTTTCATGTGCCCGGAGCTCCTGTAAGCTTTTGGGCATATTCTCTGGAAGTTCCTTTAGGTTGTTCTTGGAAAGATAAAGCCTCTCCAGTTTCTTCAGTGGAGCAAAAGCTCCTGGACTGATTTTGCTGATTTTGTTGTTCACAAGGATCAATGCCTATCAAGCAGGTAACAATAAAAGAAAATAAGATGTTGAGGTCACATAAACAGACTGTCGAGGGAAGTTACAAACTTTCACTTGAAGCTTAATTGTCCATGGGTTGTTCTCGATTAGAGATGGGCATGAACTGGCTCATCCAGGACTGTCAAGGTGGAAGCACAGGTCCTGCTCCCCTTCCTTGCCTCCTCAGCCAATCAACAACTCACCAGGCCCAGCTTGCTTGCTTTTTCCATCTCCTTGGATAATCTCCCAGTCATAAGCAAGAACACAGACTTCTCCACCCCGCCATTTTATCTGAGTGGGAGATCACATTGGTGAGTGGCTGATGGAGCCAGAGGAGTCAGGGGAGAGGAGCAGCAGGAACTGAGATGAACTGGGATGAAATGGTTCATGCCCATCTCTAGTCTGAGTTTTGTTATAGGAAAGTCACCACAGCTTAGTATGATCAGTAGGAGTTTGCTGCCCCCGATTATATTTTAAATTCTGGTTTTCACAAGGTATGGCAAACCATAATTTGCATAACACTCCTGTTTTTGAACAAAGCACTTGTCTGCTCCCTTAGTGTAACTAAACCTACATACATAGCAAGCACTACAGGACAGACTAATTGATCACGGAGAGACAAACAACATATCAAGTGCTACAACTTTTCCTAATTCATGTGATAAGGCAGCAGTGCTCAGATTTTCCAATATAGCGTATTGTGCAGAATTATGCAAAGAACAAAAACATATGTAGATTTTCTCCAAGAGCAACAAAAATGGTGCCAGCATATCTCAACAGCTCACACTGAGGGGGAAAAAAATTAAGTTTTCACATTTATCCTATATGACAAATCAGGTCAGGATTTCCATCTCTGCTGAAAACTCAGCCAGCATCCGATGCATAGCACCTGTACATGCAGTATATCCCTGCTGTATTGTGGGTTTTGGTGTTAAACATGCTGTGAGAAAATCCTGAGCATGAATAGAAAGATTTATATGTCAGCCATGTCGATGTGTCTTGGCCAAACAGGAACTACTAAATTCGATACAAGGCTATACCATGCTAGTTGATTAGCAAGTTTTTGTACATACAGATATGGACATATAACTTATGCTACAGTAGCTGAGGACAAACCTGATACCTCAAGTGGCGCACCAAGCTTGGATTTTCTCTATGATATCATTTGAACTCAGATCTTGTCATTGCAACAGAGGGTCCAAATGACTTTTGGACTCTTCTGTTTTCCCAGCCCACCCCACCAACCTGAAGAAGGGTCTCAATAGATCCTGAAAGTCCACCTGTGTTAAATATTTAGTGGCACAATAAAATTATAGCCCACTCTTTTCAAACTTTTACATGGACTACATTACTTTTTTTCATTAGATTTATATAGAACATTTAGGATTCCACTTTTGAATGGCGGGTCAGGAACAAAACATAGTGGTTTTTTTTATATTTTAAAATTAACTGCATACTATCAATGCTGCCAAAAAGTGCTCAGTTTACATAGATTCAGAACTATTGCTTTGTATAACAATTGCCATGCCAAAAATTTTAAAAAAACCTCAAAGAAATCAATATCTGACACAAATTACTTGTGAGCAGAATGAAGTAAAGACCATCTCAAGTCACAGGGGAAATGGTGCCTTCCCCAGATAACATGTTTGCTTGGGTTTAGTCCTGAATATATTTTCAATATCAATTCTGAATTCTAGTCTCAGAAATGCATATGAACATATGCTCTCTCTTCATCACTGAACAACTATGTATTTGTTTATTTTATTTTTATCCCACCTTTCTCCCTTCGCTTAATCAGTCTTATTGCCTATTGAGCCCTTATTGCCCACTTAAGCATCAAACTGCACTTTCACTGACACACATGAATATATTTATTCTGTGGTCGCTACAAGGAAAACCAAGGCTACATGGTAAGACTCTCATGCAAATGTTCACCACTGGAGTTTCTTTATTATTGTTATTCATCATATCGTGTCCCCAGCATCCTTACAGCCAAAGAACATCCCTTCTCCACTCAAATTCACTCCACTTGGAAGAGCTGTGTTCACAAGTTCATTATTCCTCTTCGGTTCTCTGACTTCAGAGAAGCTCCACATTTTTCTAGCTTTCCCTTCCCACTTAGGGTTATGTTTGTAGTAAGAGCTCAGCCCAGAAAAATGTTTTCACTCAGTCTTTACAGATCCACTCCCACTACACAACAACACACCCTCCTTTCCAACTGCATAGGCTAGTTGAATTTCTCCAAAAGAAACATTCCTGAGTTGTGAGTTGTTTGACACTAGCTTTAGTGGCCCGTTCTGTTCTCCCTGGTGGCACAGCACTTCTGCTAGGAAACAGGACACATGAAGATGTCTCACATCATGCACATTGGCCTCCTGACAGCTGTGCAAACACGCCTAAGTGAAATTCTTCAGAGGAACTGCTCAGATTTCGATGGTTGATTTTAAAAATCAATTGGCTACCGTTATAGTTCCAAGGCACAAAAACAGTTATATACTGCTATTCTTTCTTTTTTTGAAAGTAACTGGTTTAGGAAGGTAAATCTGAATACTATGAGCTGCTGCTGTTACTCTATTTCCATCTACGTTGTTACCTGAACATCCACAACAGAACACAGGGTTGTACTAAGAGACAAGGACAGACTGGTATTAGAATCAAGTTATTTTCTTTATCTGCTATTTACAGGAGCCACACTTCCTATGACAATAAAATAAAATAAAAATAACTTGTGGTTAAACTGCAGAAGTGAAATCTAATGGAAAAGCAATGAGTGGAAAGTGGAGGTTTCAAATGTTGTACTTGCTTTCAGAGAAACCCACGTCATCTGCATTCTGATAGGTACCCTACCAAACAGTTGATGTCATGGACATGTCTTCCATCTCTCTCACACACATCGCAGTTTCCCTCCATCTCCATTTCTACCTGGCACATGCACTGTTTGTCACAAACTTCGCCACTACCACTAAAACATATAGACTGCACCCCCAAGTCAGTGTGGTCAACAGAGAAGACCTAGAGCCTTCCCAGGCTGGCCACGTCAGTATGGGCTGGATCAGGCTACAAAGGATCTGTTGAGGTCAGGAAAGAGGACTAATGTATCGTTTGGCATGCTCCTCCCATCCAAATGGCAAACAGCCCTTTGTAGACCTATCTGTTGTCAATTAAGCACTTGCCCTGATTGTCTGTGAAGAATCAGGGGAAACAATTCTTTTTATGTCTAATAATTCCTGGCTGATGCAATTAATCACTTCATTTAATTTAAAAATATATATATTTACCTGTCTGTGTATTGCCAATTGAGAGACTGCTCGCAGCCAATGCACAGACAGGCAAAGACAATACAGTAATAACAATTTAAACAAAGTAATTTGTTGCATCAGCAATGATCTGACAGATGTACAAAATAATTTCACTTCCCCTGACACTTTGCAGATGAGCCAGAAAGGGTTCAATTTCTGAAGGGTTCAATTTCTGAAGGGTTCAATTTCAGAAACGGACACTGGGAAGAGATTCAAGGCTTTAGTTTGATCATCTCCAGGTGACCACACTCAATGGAAATGGACTCAACTTGAGCCCTCCAACCTGACCTAAAACAGAAGAGCCCCTTGACAGATGTTCAAAAAGGTGCAGGTTGGGGTAAATTGGTCTGCTCCAGTGTGGGTGCTGGAAAAAAGAGTCGACCAACCCAACAGTCCACCAAACAGCAAGACAAATGCCCATGTGGGGCTTAAACCCAGTCCTCTTGGGCTAAACCCTAGCCACCTAGACCAACAGTTGGCATGTTAAACCTACTGTTTATGTGAACTTTACTTCCTTCTTTTTATCTGTTTTCTTTTAAATCTCATTAAATTTGTGAGAGTAAATATATGTATACTAAATATATGCTTTGAGGGTTTTGTGATAGCAATAATTCCAGGACCTTATTTATTTTTTCAATCACAGCACAGCTGTAGACAACATGCACTCACTAAATGCATTATCCCGTTGCAAAAGTGGGGGGGACAGGACACCAGATGCCTCATCTGTCTCTGTTTTGATTTCCAGCCCTTCTAAATGCTTTCATAATTAAACTTACGCCAAATGTCTTTGCAACTAGCAGGAGTAAAAACAGAACATTTACAGAAATAAAAAAAAAGTATAAACAGCTGTAGAGGCAGAACGCATTGAAGAAAAGCCAAGCCAAGAGGGTGAAGCTATCCTTGTGAACAGTTTATGTGTTGTGTGTTGTCTCCCCGGAGCATTTGATTTCCTGTTCATCATCAGTAAAACAGGAGGTATGTTTTACAGATGGCTCCACTGTGTATATGATAACATTGTATGGTTTCAATTTTGTATTCTAGCCAGGAGTGGCCAGATTTGTGAGTAGAAAAGTTCATTCCCAGTTTAATAGTACTAGCAAGAAGCCTCCCTCCCACCCACCCAGAAAAAAAAATTGCTGTTCAGCTATGGGAGTATTTCTAGATAACTAAAAGATTACTTATTGAATCTCTTTTACGTTATCATTGTTAGCCATTTTGATAATTTTAAAGAAAGGGCACAAAGTAAAATGGTTGAATAAATAAATTAAAACATAAATAAGTGTATGTTGGAATGACCCACTAAAAGGCTCCAAATTAGCAAAAAGAAAGCAAATTTTCTATTCATTTCAGTAGCTGCTTCTGGCATTAATGCTGCTATCACAACTTTTAGTTTTACTGAGAATGGTTATGTACTGCTGCATGAACCATCAGAGCTGAATTCCCCAGTTTCTAGCCAGGGTTATTGCTCTGGTATGGGCCTTCATGTCATTGCAATTTGCTAAGAGTTCCTCCTGCAATCAATAGATGATGCCTGGAACATCAGGCATTTTCTGAGGACAGTATGTTTGACAGAGACAAAATGGCAGAATATTAGCCCCATTTTGTTTGTGGTGGTCATCAATGCAACTTGAAGCTGTACTTTCGATTTGAAGTAGCTCCCCAAACAAAAGGCAGCTAACACTGGGTAGCATTACATTTCCGGACACTGTGTTTTGTCATAGGTTCTCCTGTCTTTGGGATACTCAGACTGGGGAAAGCAACCTGGAATCTATGACTTAATAGTTTGCCACAGGAGAAAACTTGATCCTGTTCAATCAGTATTCCTGTTCTTGTTCTTATTATTTTGGTATTTGAATGCATGTATTTACTGTAAAGGCTGACCACTGAAGAATTGATGCTTTTGAACTGTGGTGGTGGAGGAGACTTTTGAGAGTCCCCTGGACTGCAAGGAGATGAAACGGATCCATTCTTAAGGAAATCAACCCTGAGTGCTCACTGGAAGGACAGATCCTGAAGCTGAGGCTCCAATACTTTGGCCATCTCATGAGAAGAGAAGACTCCCTGGAAAAGACCCTGATGTTGGGAGAGTGTGAAGGCAAGAGGAGAAGGAGACGATAGAGGATGAGATGGTTGGACAGTGTCATCGAAGATACCAACATGACTTTGACCAAACGCCGGGAGGCAGTGGAAGACAGAAGGGCCTGGCGTGCTCTGGTCCATGGGGTCACGAAGAGTCGGACACGACTTAATGACTAAACAAGAACAACAATTTACTGTGACATTTGTGTCTGCAAGTATGTGTGTGTGTGTGGGGGGGTGAGTGTTACTTGATTATATAAGAGAAGCACTGATCTCTCAAGCATCTAGGCATGCACCTTGGATTTCCTGCTTCTGCAGGGAGCTGGGCTCAAGGACCCTTGGAGTCTGTTCCAACTCTACAATTCAATTCTGTGGTTTGCTTCCAGGGCTTCTTGGCACAGGCTCAAGGGAGATTTGTCCCTAGATATTTGAACTTACTTTCAGCTGCAGCTGTTTGACATAAAAGTTAAATAAACAACAGACTTTAGTATTTCACCCTTGCACTTTTTCTGGCCATTTGTTCTATGGTACACACATAACAGGTTTGCACTCCATCAGGGCATTACCAATGGGACAGAAATGCGTGCTGCTAGACAAGTTTTCAATGCAGTTATTCGTACCACAGCTTTTAGCAACAATGCAACTTCGTAAATTCAACATAAACATTGCATATGTGTTTCCTGATGGATACCTGCTAGACAAGTTTTCAATGCAGTTATTCATACCACAGCTTTAGAATTTTAGCAACAATGCAACTTCTTAAATTCAACATAAACATTGCATAGGTGTTTCCTGATGGATAGGTGTCTGATGACCCAAGACTACCAGTCCACCAGGTTGCATCCACCTGGTCTTTATCTAAAGAGTGGATGAGTTAGGGTTCTGGAATAATAGGACATTTCCCTTGCCTTCCTACATCGATGCTGTGCTACTGCCTATTGGGGAGGAAGCAGTGTCACTACCTATCCTCTTTCTTCTCATTCTCCAATGCACAGGCAGCAATTGTGCTGCTGGAGAATGTGACTGCCACTCATGCCAGAAGCTCAAAGGAGACAGCATACAACCAGTTAAGCGCACAACAGCCTCCGTTCACACTCCTGCTGCCACAGACAATTACGAGTTATGTCCACTGTGCAACTATATAAGTTTAGAAGACATTGTTTCTTATGATACCTCTATAGAGATTATGAACTGAGTGAATCAGGTCCTCCCACAGCTCCACATAGTCCCAGCCCCAGAAAGCTGGACCATAAAAAAAGACTGAGTTTGTGCTCTCCAAACAAGCAGCCAGTTCTGAAATGTACAAATCCAGTGGCACCTTGCAGGTCCCTGCACAATCTGTTGTATCTGTTTATCACTTTTCTTCATACTGAGATAGAACTGGCTAACTAAAATCAAAATAATCTCAAACTCAAAATTTCAGTCATTTTTAATCCCTACATACCAATTTTTTGTGTATGCATTTTTGACATAAAGTAAATAATAGCTTCCTTCATAGTAATTCTAAAATTAAGGTACTCAGAAGTTTAATTCAGCATCCTTTGGATGACACAGTTTAGTTCAAATCAAGTGACCAAATGTGCTGTGGAAACAGTGCTCTTAAAGCACTGTTACATGATCCAAGGCTGTAAGAAACACCACAAATTTCCATAGCAAGTTCATGAAGTATGGAAGTGAAAAATGCGGGCAGATATGACTTTAAACACTCCCACACAGGTTTCTAGGAAGTATAGGCCAAGGTGATTTACCAGCTAAGTATACCTAGATGCATATATACATTATGACACATAAAATATTTCAACTCTGATTTTAAAAATAAGGTTTTTGAGCCTCTTGGTCTCCTTGATCCTTATCCTGAAAGAAAAAGTGATTATTTTACAACCAATCTCTGAACTGGTATTGCAGATCATATTAGAAGTCCAAACTAGCTGAAAGAAAGAAGATACCTTTTTACATAGTCTCTTAAATGTTCTCAGCACTTAATTTTTTAAAACGTTTTTAAAAATAGTAGACCTTATATTTATGAGAAACCTACAGATGTTGTGTCAGTATTCCCTAGAGAAATATAATCTAGAAATGAATCAGAAAACGTAGCATGAAGACAGGCCTAGAACAGGTTTGCGTTTCTAGAATAAATAGGCATTCCACCAGAACTTACATGAAGATTCTTCAGATTTTTGAAATCTCCATCCTTTATTTCAGTGATTTTGTTGTTTTGCAGGTCCAGGAGGGTAGTATCTGAGGGAAGATCCCTTGGAACTTTAGTCAGACCTTAATGGGAAGAGAAAAATAAGCTCTTCAGTGAAAGAAGAAACATGCCTAAAAGAAAGACATGGGTTATCATTCATTCATTCATTCATTCATTCATTCATTCATTCATTCATTCATTCATTCATTCATTCATTCATTCATTCATTCATTCATTCATTCATTGCTGTTAAGAGAGCAAACAATTCTAGGCTTTGTAGACAAAGTTTTAAAAAGGAATTCACTTCAAAATCCTCTCAGACAGGGATGTGTATCTTCCCCTGTCTCATTTGTACATAGAAGGAGGACAAATATCAAATAATTTCTCCTTGCCTACAAGTCAATGGGATTTCTTCTGCCAATTCTGATAAGGGTTTTCATATTTATGAGACTGATTCCTGAGCAGATTTTGTTATCATGCAAACTGGTATCTGCTGCTTTGTTGCTTTAACTTTTTCAAAAGTAGAAGCATTGGATAAATCAGGGGTCCCAAACCCCCAGTCTGCAGCGTGGTGGGCTTCCTTGAACTGGGCCGCGGACACTGATCTCTGCTCCCCCACACGCACGGTGGACATGGTGTCCTTGCGGATGGGTGTGTTGCACTCATGTGCATGCATGCGTGCACCACATGCCCACCTGCAAGTGTGACATGCCCACCCACAAGAGCAGGAGTGCCCCTGCCCCCCCCGCACATGAAGCCCGCACCCCCCAACTGGTCCATGTTCCGAAAAAGCTTGGGGACCGCTGGGATAGATAGTTTTCATCTTGCACACAGACACATCTAGAAAAAAATGTACAGTTTTGAAAAATATGCATAGAGGTATTCCAGATGAGCATAAAACGCAGTTTAACATGACCAGCTTCTGGACCTCTCTATTACCTGCCTCCCTCCATGTGCCTCAGTTTCCCCGGCAGGAAAATACTGTTTTATTGAGAAATCTTTTTGACAATTGGCTAGCTACTGAGGATGGGACTTATTACCAACTGGGTTTTGTACTTTTTTTAGGGGCATATTTTAAATTGTGTTTTCAGCTATTCTTTCATTTCATGTTAGTGTGAGCTGCCTTCAGTTCCATCTTAGAGAGAAAGGTTAGATATAAATCCAATAATAAATAATTGCATACAGGAATAAATATGCTTTATCCAATGAGGAAAATGTTTTCAAGTAATATGTACAATTTAAAACAAGGATGGGCAGAGTGCGACCTGTAGCCTGCATATGTCCCCAATCTCTGAATGTGGATGTCATCGCATCTGTGCCCCTAGCATCTCCCTTTGGAGTGAAAAAGGTGGTGCAGGGTCCTCTTGGGGATTCAGAGGGCATTTTCATGATGCTCCACACCCATCCCATTTGGGGTGCAGAAAGACTGTCTTCCAAGCTAACAATGATTAGAAAGGCATTTTAGCATGAAGCATAAAAGCACGGGTGTGCACGCGCACGCGCACGCGCACGCACACATACACACACACACATGATAAGCAGGTCTCCATCTATTATGATCAACTCTGATGATCATTTGAAATCTCACAAAAGAGAAAAGCAAACATGTTTGTTACTACAACATTCCAAAATGCATAGTACACTAGTATCTTTATTGGGATTCTCAGTGTGGTATAGTGGATAGAGTAACGGACTAGGACTCTGTCAGGCTTCAAACCCTCACTCAGCCATGGAAACTCACTGGGAGAGTGGAAATGGTAAAAAGTAGTATCTCAATTACATCGAAAGCCCTGTTAGGGTTACTATAAGTCAATTCCAACTTGTTGGCACGGAACACCAATAGTATCTTTATTAGGCCAGCTCAGGAGTCATTGAAAATGCACAAGCTTTTGAGATCTCTAGACATTTTCATCAGGTAGGATGTTACAAACAGTAAGAGGTGGGGAGAGGCAAAGCCTGAGGGTGTTAAACTAGTGAGGTCTCCATAGATAGATTGTGAAAATTAGATGTGGGACAAGGTTGCATGCATTTACATTAAGCTGTAGAAGGTGATCCAGTAGTTTAATATGACTTTTGGAACTACCCCAGGACTCATGGGATGAAGAAACAAACAATCCCCCTTCTGACCCCTACGTAGGACCTTTGCCTTGGCAACATTCCCTCAGTGCCTCTCACTTTCCCTGTTATACTGAGACATCCTTTTGGCAACTGAAGAGTCACTGAGGATGGGGCTTATTACCAACTGGATGCTGTACTTTTTAAATTGTGTTTTCCACTGTTTCACATAGGTCTTTTAACTGCCTTTTGAAAGTGGATCTTGGTTTGCATTTTAATTATATTCTTCTTTCATTTGATCTTAGTGTGAGTTGCCTTCAGTTCACACTACAGTGGTTTCTGTAAATGTCAGAAGCAATGATTTCCATTGTAGTCTGAATTGCATATATTAAAATATTGCCACAGCATTAGGAAACCAGCCCTACTCATATTTTCCACCATTCCATTGATATTATCCATCTTAATCTCATCAATTTTCTATTCTCTCCCTATTCAAACAAGTGGTTCCTTTACACAATGTTCAGTTCTGAAGACTAGCAAATCATATTTCAAATCTTCTGCGCTTTAATTATAGTCAGTTAGATGCTAAGCTATCATTCTGTATGACAGTCAGGGGCCCAGTCTTGGAAACTGTCCAAATACCAGGTTCTGCTGACTTCAGCACATAAGTGCTTGAAAAAGGCCATGTTTGGATTCAGCTTCTTGTTGTGCACCTGAAGAGAGTAAATTGTATATAATCAGTGTAGACAAACCAAAAACATGCCTCATTTGATTTGTATCCTTCTTCTCCTAAACTAAACAGTGAAATTATCATTGATTGTAATAAGTGAAACATCAGAGTATAATTAAAGAAAATGTCTAGCATGAGTTTACATTTCAGAGTTTTCTGCAAATCAGTACCTTCATATTGGTCCTTATTTAACATCATATTCAACTGGTTGGATTTATAAAAATGGAAAACATTTGTAAATGAAACTACATCATCAAAGTCTATCTTCACTTATTTTTGAAATTGAAACAAGAGGGAGGCTGTTTTCAAAAGAATACTTCTTTTTGCTTTACCGTGAATGCCCAGAGAACATCACACAGTTGGATTAAAATTAATTCAGAGGCCATTTTCACTCAATTGTGTAGCTTGGATGAAACAACTGCATTTAAACGATATAAATATCCCCAGGTAGTTCCACCCACATTTGCTTCTTTTTCCTATGGCTGAAATCCGATTGTAAGACCTGAATGAAGGTGAATACATAAGGAGGGGGGATGAACTCTACCTGTTGTCTTCTAGGAGGCACAGAGAGGAATGTTCCATATGCACCTCAGATGTTTTTCCATGCCCTCTCCCTAGTAGGTGCCATTTTTCAAAATCAGAAGTGGCCAGAAATCATTTCAGTGTTTGGAAAAAGGCCCCCCACCCTGCACTCCTAAAATAGCTCAGGAAGTATAGATAAGCCTCCTTTGTGTGTGTGTGTGTGCATGTGTGTGTTTATGTGTGTGTGTGTGTATGTGTATAGACATTCACTTACTAATATTGCTATTAATATTGGTATTATGTCTTCCATATGCAGCAATGGAAGTTTCCCATTTCTTTTTAATTGTTGCTAATAAATCAGCAATGCTTTGAAATGGCTCTTAATTTTTTTAAAAAAAGAAAGAAATGTTTGCCTTCCTTCAAGACTTCAAGAGTTGCACAGTCTGCGAATTGGTTTCTAAGTCCAATTTAAAGTGATCGCTTTAATGTGGAAATTACTAGACATCTTAAGATCTAGTTACCACAAGTAACTTCTGTCATTGTATTGCTCTGCCGGTGCCTTGAAATCAACAGAGGAATTCCTTTAGATTACATTGTCACCTAATAAGATCTTAAGGCAACCTTTTCCATGGTGGCATCCTGTATGTTGAATTCTCCTACAGGTTAGAGTGGCACCAACTTTGCCAGAATTTTTCCACGGGGAGAAACCAGAACTTGTATAATTCCTTTCAAATAGAATTAATTTAAAAACATGCTGATTCAGTAGCAATGTAAGGATGATACCTAATGCCAAGGGAGGCTATATAATCTCTGAACTAGATCCAGTTTACAATAATCTAAAATATCTTAAAATGGCTGAACTGGAAGAGACCCTATGGAGTACAGCTCCCAACCTCTGGCTCCACAGCCAGATACCTAAACCACTGAACTACACTGGCAAATGTAATATCTGTTTAAAAAATGTCAGTCTTTAAAAAATCAGAATAGTTAAAAATCTTTAGGTTATGTAATTATAGCAACTATTGTTATTTGGTTGATATTAATATTACTGATTTAAATAGTTGTTTTTAATTGTTCTATGACATTCCTATTGTAAGCCGCCCAGAGTAGACATGGTCTAAATGGGTGGGATATAAATAAATAAATAAATAAATAAATAAATAAATAAATAAATAAATAAATAAACGAACAAATGAACAAATGAACAAATGAACAAATGAACAAACAAATAAATAAACCTTGCAATGCCACAGGGAAAGCAGTGACAATGTAAAAGGTATGTCTAGAAAGTATCAGTGATCTACTATTTGACATTTTTTGAAAATTTGAAACAAGGTTGGAGGTTTAAGAGTGGAATTGAAAGTCTTTAAGCACAGGCCACCTCATCTCAGGGTATTTGGAAGCAAAATGGAAAGCGATGTAATGGAACATATGGGTTACTGCTTATACACTTGCTGGTCAGAGTTCTATCAGTTAGTTATGCCAGTTTAGTGGCAACACAGTAAATCACAGTGGCAAACTGCTGGTAGTTAGTAAGTCAACAATAGGAATCTTAGAACTGCACAGCTGGAAGGGATCTTATGGATCATCAACAGCCTGTCAAGGAGGCACAGTGGGGAATCAAACTCCCTACCAGATACCTAAATAATGGAGTTATCCAACAAGACACAACTTGTATCCCTAACTATGCACCATTCGTATGACTTTTTGCATGGTAAGGGATACAAACAGCAACTTGTTAACTAGTGGCAATTTGTCACTGCAATTTACAGCACT